TTTTTTTTGCTTGGGGCGGCAAAAATCCTAGAGCCGGCCCTGCCCTCTCCAAGGGTTGCAGCTGTCTGGAGGTGCCTGCCTTCCACGCCTTCCTCATTCACACCTCATTCATTCAACAGGGTAATTGATTATGAAGTGGGGGGAAGATCTTATTCTACTTCTAGCAAAAAGACGTTTTTCTTTTACCTTAATTATACTACCTTAGGGGCCCGCTATAACATATTACCGAGGTTCAATACTGCTGTTTTGGTGGGGCGGTGCTGGGGAAGGAGGGTTTGTTTCCGTGGGGCAGGTGGCGCTGGGGTGGGGAGGGTGTTTCGGCAGCACTGGGGGCGTTGTTTCCGGGGGGCGGGCGGCGCTGGGGGGTGTATGTTAGGGTTACCATAATCCAGCAAGCAAAAAAGAGGACAGGAGGAGCCCCGCCCCTGTCCTGCCCTAGCCCCGCCCCATCCTGCCCTAGCCCCGCCCCTGCCCCTCCCACTTCCCCCCCTCAGAACCCCCAACCCTCCCCCTGCTCCTTGTCCCCTGACTGCCCCCTCCTGGGACCCCTGCCCCTAACTGCCCCCCAGGACTCCACCCCCTATTTATGTACAGGCGTGACTACCTGCCCTTTCCTGGTTATTATATGCGGCCAGTCCGCATCCACATCCAGTAGTTAAAAATAAATAAATAAATAAATAATTTAAATTGGAATTTCATCCATTAATAAGTATTTATTATATAATTAAAACCATTCTATTGACGGACAGATATTAAATAACACTAAATAAGTTAATGTTCAAAACAATATTAAAAATTTGAAAATTTAGAGCATGGAAACCAAAATAGCTAAAATTTAGTTTTGGCAAGATGCACGGAATGGAAACTCCGGGATCTTTACCTGTCACTGAATATAGCCATCATACCAATAGTGGAATATAAAACAAGTCTACATATACTCTCCTTAAAATTTTTACTTCTGTCCATTCCCAATAATTGTAACAAATCATTATTACCTTCACTCCACTTGCCACGCGCCCCAAGCACAAAACCAAAGAAGTGAATATTTTTACCTCCCGTTAAGTTTTTAATTTCTTCCTCTAACTCAAGATAATAAGCCACCTTCTCACTGTGGGCTTGTTCCAAACTTCCGGCATTATCCTCCCATCGCACTGTAACATCAACCACCACTGCTGTATCTCCTTTTATAAATATAATATCCGGCTTTCTTAACTCACCCTTACTATTTCTCAAATGGGGCTCTATCATTGCCTTCCACCCTAATTTACCAACCTTATCTACAACTGCAGACACTACTCTATTATGCCTTTTTATCCTAGCATTCTTAGTCTTATAACATTGTCCTGAGGTATGGGGAACAGTCTCCCGCAATTTACCGCACCATCTACAAAGAGCAGTCACACCTCCTCTTCCTCTTGCTAATGTCTCCCTAGTAGGATAAATATTTGCCCTAAGCTGCAATGCTGCGATATACGCTGACGATTTAACTTTACTAGAGTTTCTAAAAATCGAATTACTAATTAAATCATTTTAAAAATATTTTATCCCTATTCCCTGACATCTCAGTTCCGACCATCTTAAAAATTCCTCTTCCCTCCATTTCTTGGGATGAGATGTTACTGCACTAAATGACAATATTTTATCCACAAGATTTTCTCCTGCATATAGATAAGATAGGTCCATCCAATCATCTCTCGAGACAATATGTCTCCTCCATTTACGAATTAACATATTTGGGATTTGCACACTAAACTTAGTGAGAGCTAAACCACCATCCCTACCTCTAGAATAAAATATCCCATCTGTGGTACACTGAGGTAAATGTAAAATCTCTTTAACTATTTTTCTAACTAACACATCAAGATCGTCTAAAAGATTAAAAGGGGGTTCTATTAAAAGAAGATTATAAAATAGCTTCGGTAAGATATATGTCTGTAAAATTAATATTTTTTGGGCCGGTTTTAATGGGGCCTTAATTAAATTCTCACTCCAATCTTTCAATTTTTCTTTAAGTACCGGTCCCCCTACACCTATCCAGGGATCTATTCTAGCCCCTAAATATTTTTCAAAATCCCCTGGTTGAACATATTCAATCTCCTCTGACCCTATCTGCCAATTATCCTTAGGATTAACTACATAGGTTTTATGTTTAGTTAAAATATGAAAGCCTTTCGTTTTCTTCACATTAACAGAGAGATTAGTATTTTTACAAAACTCCTCTAAGATACCCAAATTTTTAATCATTCCTTTATATGAGCTACTTAAAATTGCCACATCATCGGCAAAAGCCAATGACGTGACACCATTACCCTTAACATAAAAACCACTTCCTTCTACTTCTAATCTAGTTAAAAGGGGATCCATAGCAATATTAAACAAAATTGGGGACAACGGGTCACCCTGCTTGACCCCCCTCCTAATTAAAATAGACTCAGTAGCTTCATCACCCACCCATACCCTAGTTGTGCAATTATCATAAAGGTCCCTAATAATATCTATAAAATGTTCATCTATACCAAATCTTCTCAACCCGGCTATTATATGTCCGTGTCCCACAGAATCAAATGCTTTAGCCAGATCTACGAACACTATTGCAATTTCATTCCCATTTCATTTTGCCCCTTTAATCAAATTATCTAATATAGCAATATTTTCCTCACACCCAGGGGCGGATATAAACCCTTTTTGTCTACTACATATCTTAACTGTTTCCACCAGTCTTTTTGCTAATATTTTGGTATAGATTCTAATCCAAACTGACCCAATTGTCAATGGTCTCCAAGATGTTAACTTCTTCATTTCCTCCTCATCTTGTGTCTTTGGTATTAAAATCGTTCTATTTTTCTTAAATTCATCTGGTACCTGTCTATTTAGAAACCATATATTAAAAATTTTTGTAAGTATTAAGGAGTCTAAATTAAAAATATCCCACAAATTGCTCACTTTTACTTTATCTGGGCCAGGAGCACTATCTTTTCTTATTTCTCTTAAAGCTATTCTAATCTCATCCACAGAGATCGGACTCATTAATATATCATTATCCGCATTCTCTGTGGATGATGGCCACCCTATCATATTACCATGTCCAATTGTTCCAAAAATATTCACATAGTATTCCTCAATTTCTTTCATAGGGATAGCACACTTAGCCTTATCTGGCTCTCCCATTATAATGCGAGTCAATCTTCTTCTATCCTTATCAAATAATTGTTGATAGAATTTATACTTAGCTTTCTTTGTAGCATATCTCCTAATTGCATTAAATTGCTTCCTTCTCCCCTCCTTTCTCATCTTCCCTTTTCCTTTATTCCTCAACTCTATTTGACTTTCATTTCTAGGGTCCTTTCCCTCTACTAATGAATAACATAATTTTTCCAACATTGCCCATCCGAGAGCTTTTGTTAAATCCTCCTTTAATAATCCTTCAATTTCCCCTAAACTATCTATTATTTCTCTTCCCTCCCTACTTTGTTTTCCCCGTTTACATATTTTCTCCACTAAATCCACTTCTGGATGTCCTTTTAGTGGGAAAATCCTCTCTCTTGGGGGCGGAATTTCTAATATATTTACTCTAATGTCCTCTACCTCAGTCACTTCCTCCCTATCTCCTGTTACCACTAACTTCTTCTTTGCTAATTCTCGTCTTTTATCTGATATTTGTTTATTCGTTTTGGTCCTCATCTCGCTCTCAATACATTTATTTATATTCCTTTTCCCAATATATTTCCTTTCCAACTGTATAAGCTGCGCAACCTCATCTTTGGTCCATATACGAGATCTAGTCGATCCCTCTTTGATCTTACTTTTAGCAGCCATATCTTCTTTTCTTTGCTCATTCCTCACAGCAGGGTGTCTATGTCTACAGTGTTGGCTCAATCCAGATCTAGTATGAAAACCAAGCCCACAGACCGAGCACGTATGGCTCTTCATTGGGGTATCCGCCTTCTTGGGTATGCACTTGGGGTAGTGGCAAGCTATATTATGATATTGAGAAGATTTTCCACATTTACTACATACAACTCGTATGGCTTTACTTTTATGAACCACATTAATGTGTTTGGCCCATTTACCAAATGTTGGTAATATCTGGGGACATATTGGACAATTAAAACTATCAACGGGATACTCTAAATAAAAAACCCCATCCTTCCACGAACTACTTTCTAATATATTTATATTACTACCAGTACTGTTAAGATCCTTATTACGATCCCTATTAAAATCAGTACTTGGTCTAAAACTATTTAATAAACTAGACCCATTAACTAAATGAGCATTAAGATATCCCGATTCGCTAACATATGGATCATCAAATGTACTTAAATACTTAAAATCTGGATTGAAACTTTCCATAGTTAAATCATTAAAAGTGTCCCTTGTAAAAACCATCGGTAAGATAGATAAAATCTCCTCACCATGATCATCACAAACATTCTCCTCTACCTCCTCTCCATGCTCCACTGGGAGGACTTGATTCTCACTCTCATGCTCATGAGACTTCATTATAGTCCACACCATTTTATCCATTGGTCCAGCGACCCTGATCACACCCCTAATATATTTAACACTGTCAGCCGGGGCATCAAAGCCAACAGCGGGGGCGTTATTAACCCGGTCCAGCGCCAATCCGGTATAAAAATATAAATTACTTTTTTCCATAGCTAAAAGATTTACCCTTCTCAGGGGGAAACTAACCCTTTCCAGGGGGAAACTAACCTGTACCTGGGGGAAACTTACCCTTTCCAGGGGGAAACTAACCCGTGCCTGGGGGAATCTAACCCTTACCAGGGGGAATCTAACCCTTACCAGGGGGAGTCTAACCCGTACCTGGGGGAGGCTACCCTTACCAGGGGGGCATCCATGTGGCACCATATGGGGCTGCCCAACCCCGTCCCACACCCCACTAAGCCTCCCTGCCTCTTGTCCCCTGACTGCCCCCTCCTGGGACCCTCCCCCCATTCTAACTGGCCCCCTAGGACTCTACCCCCTACCTGTACCCTGACTGCCCCAACCCTTATCCACACCCCCACCCCCAGACAGAACCCTGGGACTCCCACGCCCCATCCAACCACTCCTCACCCCCTGACAGCACCCCCCCATAACTCCCGACCCATCTAAACCCCTCTGCTCCCTATCCCCTGACTGCTCCGATCCCTCTCCCCACTCCTGCCCCCTGACAGCCCCCCCCAGAACTCCCAACCCCCCCCTTGTCCCCTGACTCCCCCCTCCTGGGACCCCTGCTCCTAACTGCCCTCCAGAACCCCACCCCCTACCTAAGTCTCCCTGTTCCTTGTCCCCTAACTGTCCCCTCCTAAGCGTCCCCCTAAATGCCCCCCAGGACCCTACCCCCTACCTGTACCCTAACTGCCCAAAACCTTCTCCACACCCCCAAAAAGCCCCCCCCCCAAACTCCCGACCCCCCCCGTCTCTTGACTGCCCCCTCCAAAACCTCTCTGCCCCTTCTCCGACCCCCTGGCCCCCTTGTTGTTGGCCTTTCTTCACCTAATGTCTCGGTGAACTTGCTCAGGAACTGCCTGAGCCGCTGGGCAGCAGCGGGGGAGGAGCTCCAGACTGCGGGAGCCGATCTGCAATGCAGGGAGGGAGGGAGGGAGGAGGAGGACGTGGACATGCTCTCTCTGGCTAAGTGTCGGAGCCCCATGTAAGTGACACCGTCCGGCCGGCAGCACTGTTAGCCGCGCGCGCTCTGCATCAGGGGGAAGTCCGGACATTTGCAAATTCCCCCCGGACGCTATTTTTAGCTTAAAAAGCTGGACATGTCCGGGGGAATCCGGACAAATGGTAACCCTAGTGTATGTGTGTTGTGTTTCAGGGGGGCTGAGTGGCGCTGGGGGGAGGGGGGGAGGCGTTGGCGGAGCTCGGGGGGTTTCGGACCTCAGCTGTTTTCTTTGGAGTAATATGGCCCTCGCCGCTTTACGAGTTGTGCAGGCGTGTCTGACCTCCTGTATAAAACACAGGTAGTAAGACTTCCCTGAATTAATTCCTGTTTGAATTAGAGTATATCTTTTAGAAAAACATCCATTCAGAATTTGATCTACTACTTCTTGCAGCTCGTACTTATCCATTTCTTGTTTCATGGTTTAAAAAGGAATATAAAAGTTTTAGAACATTCAGTGGGAAATGGCTGCCATTTTGATACACAAAGTTGAATAAGCTTGATATGTAGCAATTTGATCACCAAAACTCTGACTCTTGAAGTGTAGAGCTAGAAATAAACTACTTTTGGTACTTGATTTGAAAATATAAAACTGTATTTCCTTTCTGTACTTGCATTCTCTTTAACTGTTGTTTGCTGCTTTTATTTCTTTAAATACTTCTGTCTCTTCTTAATTCAAAGCTACACAAACTCTGCGTGCTGATAAAATGAAATGTATTCAAGGGTGGTGTTCACACCACCAGAACTGTACCGAGAACTGATCATTTAATGGATTAAAAAAAAAAAATGCTTTTCTGTCAGAAGTGTAGAACGGTAACAGAAGTATTTATTCGTTCCATGTCCAAATGGCTAGTGCAGTAGGATGAACGTGAATTACCTCAAATGCTTCTTGTTTTCTTCCAGATGAGGCCATTTAAATTAAATTCAAAACCATTGTCTACTTATAACCAGCAGCTGTGGCTGACATGTGTGATTCAGCTGGATCAGCCTGATGGTAAGCACCTTGTCCAATTTATTATTTCAGAAAACTGATGTTATCCTGGAATTTTATTACAGTAGGTATAACAAGTCAATTATGGTTACAGTAGTTGACCTGTATTTCACTTAGCTGTCATGTATATTATCATGTAGTTTTACCTGGATCCAAAATGCATGGAAAAACCCACCCATCACAATAAATATGCAGAACTTGACTTGTTAGCTAAGAATCTAAGGGAATGGTTGCAGGGAAATTTTAAAGTTGTTTGTTTTTTATACTTTTTGCTAAAGTAGTAGTGGTGTGTGTGTGTGTGTCTCTCTCTTTCTTTCTTTCTTTCTTTCTTTCTTTCTCTTTAGCGTCCTCTTTTTGGGATTAGACTAGTTGATGTTACAAGGTATTGACTATAGATTAACACTCAGATTCTCAGATCACATTATCAGGTATTGCTAATTGCACTGACTACCACACTGACTTCAATGGGAATTCTTGCCCAAGTCAGAAATGCAAGATTTTTCCTCTCTACTGTAACAATGCATACCTGAATCGGCTTCAGTAAGCTGGGAGTATTGCTGCACCTAGTAACTCTATTTGAGATTTCATTTCTGCATTTGTTTTGGACAACAGCCTAATATTTTTCTCTTTAATTACAGAATCCAGCTTCAAAACAAATGTTACTATGACAGTTAAAATACGTGGTGTAGAAGAAAATGGAAGTTCATCGTTCATTAATAAACAAGTTTACAATCGGACGAGAATGCTGAACTGTGCACAAGTAAGTATTTTTTTGCAACAACACTAATTGTAAAGCTTATTCTTTTAAAACTACTCGTGTGTTGTAGATGTGGGGAGAGTATCTGATAAGGAGGCCACGGGAAAACCTGCAGTAAGAGTTTGTCTACATTATGCTTGCAGTTGTGCTAGTAATACTGTCTTTCTTGGATTTTGCTAGCAAGGTTGTAATATGGCTTCCTGCAGCTGTGTGGCATGACTTCTTTTGAGATCCATAGTAACCAGACCGAAATATAGAATACTTTTCAGGTTGTCAATAGCATGAATGGAACTGAATTACAGAAAAAAAAATCCTCTTTACACTGGGAAAATGGTAAAACTCAGCTGGTCACGACTGTGTTTAAACGCAGTTGCTGCTGGCACTGTTTTAGTATTAATGTGGACAGATCCTAAATGGAAGAATCAGAATGCTGTAATATAGTCACTGCCTTGAGTCTGAGGCAAAACATTATTTAAGTGTATTCATTTAAGGTTTTAAAGTTCTAGCATACCTTTTCTTCAGCATCTAAGATTTGAGTTAGTTTAACTTGAAGAGCCATGAAACTACAGCTCCTCATGAGTGAGACTTTCTTTAGAAGAAAGATCTTAATTACACAGTGAGGACCATACATCATAATTAGGGCCCTACCAAATTCACCATCCATTTTGGTCAACTTCATGGTCATAAGATTTTAAAAATAGTAAATTTCATGATTTTAGCTATTTAAATCTGAAATTTCATGGTGTTGTAATTGTAGGGGTCCTGACCCAAAAAGGAGTTGGGGGGGGGTGTCTCAAGACTATTGTAGGGTGGGTTTCAGTACTGCTACCCTTACTTCTGCGCTGCTGCTGGTGGCGGCGCTGCCTTCAGAGCTGGGCAGCTGGAGAGCAGTGGCTGCTGGCCGGGAGCCAAGCTCTGAAGGTAAAGCCATCGCTAGCAGCAGCACAGAAGTAAGGATGGCATGATATGGTATTGCCACCCTTACTTCTGCGCTGCTGCCTGCAGAGCTGGGTCCTCAGTCAGCAGACGCCACTCTCTGGCCGCCCAGCTCTGAAGGCAGCATCACAGAAGTAAGGGTGGCAGTACCATACCAAGCCATCCTTACTTCTGCGCTGCTGCTGATGGGGCGCTGCCTTCAGAGCTGGGTGCCTGGCCACCAGCTCTGAAGGCAGCGCAGAAGTAAGGCTGGCAATATCGTGCCTCCCTTCTAAAAAAAACACCCTCCTCCCCTACCCCCCCCCCCCCCCCCCCACCGCAACTCCCTTTTGAGTCAGAAACCCCAATTTGAGAAATGCTGGTGTCCCTCATGAAATCTTTATAGTATAGGGTAAAAGCACACAAAAGACCAGATTTCACGATGGGAGATCAGATTTCATGGTCCGGGATGTGTTTTTCACGACCGTGAATTTGGTAGGGCCCTAATCATAAGTCAGATATTCTGGACTGGACATTTTTTTTCTTATCTCTGCTGGATTCTTTTTTTTCTTTTTTGTTTTAAAGTCCCCAATCATTAGTTAGCCTTTAGGCTGACTCAAGACAGTTGAATCTTGCACACTCCATTTCCCCCTTCCTCTTGCACTCCTTCATGACTGATGGTATTTCTTTAAGGATTTCAATATAGAAGGGTTTTAGAGGAGTGTGAGACCCACCCTGTCCTGCCAACCTGTGACCCAAAAATTCCCCCAAATTCTCCTCTGTGCCATCAGGCTATTTCTTTGGAAGGCTTAGTGAAATATTTCAAATATTTGTAACATGTGAGTGTGTTAAGAGATGCTCTGTCTCTGCTTGTTCACTTTGTCTCACTTATACGTGGGCATTCTGAATGTTTTGAATGTCTTAAGTCAGTCTAGATGCTGCTTCTAGTTTTCTGGCTTGTGATCCCCTCTACAAGATGTAAAAAAGAAAATAATAAAAAGATTAGGTAAAATGTTTAAATGTCCCTAAATGACTTATGAACCCAAATCCTATTGACATTCAGTGGCTAGGCTTCTAGTCATTTAAGTGGTTATGAAAGTTTCATGCATTATCACAACAGTATCGTGCACCTTCTGTTTCTCTTGGTTCTGTTGACTCACTTTGACAGCAACAGAGACTGGAGGACAATCTGGCATCTTTCATAGATTCTGTGGTCAGAAGGGACAACTGTGATAATTTAGTCTGACCTGCATAACACAGGGGCTAGAACTTCCCTGAAATAATTTCTGTTTGAACTAGAGCATATCTTTCAGAAGAACATCCAATCTTGATTTAAAAATTGCCAGTGATGGAGAATCTTCCACAACTCTTGGTAAAAAATTGTTCCAAAGATTTATTACTCTCACTCTTTCAAGAGTAGTCTCTTCCAAAAACCAGTAGACTGTCTATACTATATACATGTTGAAAGTTCGATTAACTCTGGGTCTTACCTGAGTAACATTGAACTCTGGATGACTAGTCAGAACCAGTGGGAAAGGTAATAAATGTCATTCACCTGACCAGTGTCTGGAAATTAGTTTCTTTCTACCTAGACTTCAATTTCTTTCACAACTAGCAATGGAAGTACCAGAGTGTATCTCTTCCCCTGCATTCTTCGAGTTCCCAGCACTGTCCTGGGAGATATCCACTGAAATGTCACAGCTGTTGGAGTTACACCTTTGCACCCTGCTCAAGTTTCTATTTGCAGGGCTGTCCCTAGCAATTCTGGGGCCCTACGCAGCCCCCCCGCGGGGTGTGTGGGGCCCCAGGCCTCTGCGGGGGGGGGCTGGCTTGGGGGGCAGAGGGGAACCACTCCCCAGCACTCACTGGCGGTGCGGCTGGGGCCGGGTCGCTGCACTTCCCGCCGCCGGTGAGTGCAGGCCCGGCCATGCTGCAGAGCTCAGGGGCGTGGGGGTGGGGCTGGGGCAGAGCAGGGGTGGGAAGAGGCGGGGCTGGGGCAGGGAATGAGCGGGGCGGAGCAGGGAAGAGCTGGAGGAAGCTGGGGAAGAGCCAGAGCAGCGGCTGGAGCAGCACGCAGCTGCACAGGGCACCAGGAAATTTGGTGCCCCAAATTTCCTGGTGCCGTACACAGCTGCATACTTTGCGTATGGATAAGGACGGCCCTGTGTATTTGTACTGCAGTCTTGTTGGTTGAAATGGAAACTGCTTACAAATGGGCAGACTTAAGAATATAAGCCATGTCCCTTTCTTACTGGGTATAGATAGGGCCCTACCAAATTGACGGTCATGAAAAACGTATCATGGTCTGTGAAATCTGGTATCCCACCATGAAATCTGGTCTTTTGTGTGCATTTACCCTATTTCAGGGGTTGGCAACCTTTCAGAAGTGGTGTGCCGAGTCTTCATTTGTTCACTCTAATTTAAGGTTTTGCGTGCCAGTAATACATTTTAACGTTTTTAGAAGGTCTCTTTCTATAAGTCTATAATATATAACTAAACCATTGTTGTATGTAAAGTAAATAAGGTTTTTAAAATGTTTAAGAAGCTTAATTTAAAATTAAATTAAAATGCAGAGCCCCCCGGACTGGTGGCCAGGACCTGGGCAGTCTGAGTGCCACTGAAAATCAGCTCGCGTGCCACAGGTTGCCTACCCCTGCCCTATTTTTTAGGTGACAAATCTGAGGAACTGTCATTGAGGTATCATTAGAGGAAGTTTTGGAACAAATTGATAAACTAAACTGTAATAAGTCACCAGGACCAGATGGTATTCACCCAAGAGTTCTGAAGGAATTCAAATGTGAAATTGCAGAATTTCTAACTGTAGTCTGTAACCTATCCTTTAAATCAGCTTCTGTACCAAATGACTGGAGGATAACTAATGTGATGCCAATTCTTAAAAAGGGCGCCAGAAGTGATCCCGGCAATTACAGGCCGGTAAACCTGACTACAGGTACAGGGCAAACTGGTTGAAATCATAGTAAAGAACAAAACTGTCAGACACATAGATGAACGTAATTTGTTGGGGGAAGCATCAACATGATTTTTATAAAGGAAAATCATGCCTCACCAATCTACTAGAATTCTTTGAGGGGGTCAACAAGCATGTGGATAAGGGGGATCCAGTGGATATAGTGTATTTAGATTTTCAGAAAGCCTTTGACAAGGTCCCTCACCAAAGGCTCTTCAGCAAAGTAAGCTGTCATGGGATAAGAGGGAAGGTCCTCTCATGGATTGGTAACTGGTTAAAAGATAGGAAACAAAGGGTAGGAATAAATGGTCAGTTTTCAGAATGAAGAGAGGTAAATAGTGGTGTCCCTCAGAGGTCTGTACTGGGCCCAGTTCTATTCAATATATTCATAAATGATCTGGAAAAAGGGGTAAACAGTGAAGTGGCAAAATTTGCCAATGATACTAAATTGCTCGAAATAGTTAAGTCCCAGTCAGACTGCGAAGAGCTACAAAAGGATCTCTCAAAACTGGGTGACCAGGCAACAAAATGGCAGATGAAATTCAATGTTGAAAATGCACCTTGGAAAAAAATCCCAACTATACATATAAAATGATGGGGTCTAAATTAGCTGTTACAACTCAAGAAAGAGATCTTGGAGTCATTGTGAATAGTTCTCTGAAAATATCCACTCAGTGTGCAGCGCCAGTCAAAAAAGCAAACAGAGTGTTGGGAATCATTGAGAAAGGGATAGATAATAAGACAGAAAATATCATATTGCCTCTATATAAATCCATGGTATGCCCGCATCTTGAATACTGCATGCAGAAGTGGTCACCCCATCTCAAAAAAGATACATTGGAATTGGGAAAGGTTCATTAAAGGGCAACAAAGATGATTAGAGGTATGGAACAGCTGCCATATGAGAAGAGATTAAGACTGTGACTTTTCAGCTTGGAAAAGAGACGACTAACGGGGGATATGATAGAGGTCTATAAAATCATGACTGGTGTGGAGAAAGTAAACAAGGAAGTGTTATTTATTCCTTCTCATAACACAAGCACTAGGGTCACCAAATGAAATTAATAGGCAGCAGGTTTAAAACAAACAAAAGGAAGTATTTTTTCCGCACAACACACAGTCAACCCATGGAACTCCTTGCCAGAGGATGTTGTGAAGGCCAAGACTATAACAGGGTTCAAAAAAGAACTAAATAAGTTCATGGAGGATAGGTCAATCAATGGCTATTAGCCAGGATGGACAGGTATGGTGTTGCTATCTTGTGTTTGCCAGTAGCTGAGAATGGGCAACAGGGGATGAATCATTTGATTACCTGTTTCGTTCATTCTCTCTGGGGCCACCTGGCATTGGCCACTGTCAGAAGACAGGATACTGGGCTAGATGGACCTTTGGTCTGACCCAATATGGCCGTTCTTATACAGATTTCAGGGGGGAGACCAGCATTTCTCAAATTGGGGGTCCTGACCCAAAAGGAAGTTGCAGGGGGGTTGCAAGGTTATTTTAGAGGGGTTGCGGTATTGCCACCCTTACTTCTGTGCTGCCTTCAGAGCTAGGCGCCTGGCCAACAGCTACCCATCTCTGGCCGCCCAGCTCTGAAGGAAGCACCCTGCCAGCAGCAGTGCAGAAGTAAGGGTGGCAATACAGTACCATGCGGCAGCACAGAAGTAAGGGTAGCAGTTCTGCAAACCCCCCTACAATAACCTTGCGACCCCTGTACAACTTCTTTTTGGGTCAGGACCCCTACAATTACAACACTGTGAAAATTCATATTTAATTAGGCGAAATCATGAAATTTATGATTTTTAAATTCCTCTGACCGTGAAATTGACCAAAATGAACCGTGAATTTGATAGGGCCCTAGGTATAGATGATAAATTGTGCAATTATTTGAAAATTACCACAGCATGGAGAACTAATCTGCTGGATAATCAGGGGGAAATAGTGGATTGAGCAAAGACAGCCTAGGGCGCTGCTGCTGAGTTGTTGGAGCATTTAATTGCTCATGTGTTTACAGTTTTTGGTTTCATAGGTACAAAGACCTATAAATATCCTTCACCAAGTGCTAACCTACTTTGGAAAGATTAGAATTTTTCTGATGTTCTCCTTAGCTCTCTGACACTGAAAGAAAGAATAGCACGCAGACAAATCTAAAACTAATGTCACTTATTTGGGGGCCCACATTAACATTTTTTAAATGTCGGTATAAAGCTCTCCGATCCTTTGCTTTGATCTCCTCAGCAGAACCTCATACCACTTCAGAACCAGACAGTCTTTTAGTGCTTTAATCCATAACTATCTCAAAGTGAAAGATAACACAACAGAAGACACCAAAGATCAGAAATGTATAATATAAAAAAAAAAGCAGCCACTTCTTAAAGAAAGCTTTCAAGTTTTATTCATATATCAAAGAAAAAAAAGACCCCTTTTTGTCTTTTGCAGGTCTTCTTTAAAAAAAAAATTAGTGGTACCAGGAGATCTTAAACTTAGATACAGCTATATTTCTCAGTAGAAAAGTATTTTGACTGATAGGCAGTTGACACCCATTGAACTTTTACTTTGTCTGAGTGCCTTAAATAAATTCCTTTGGAATCTCTCTCAGATCTCCTTATTTGTTTATCCATTATAACTTCACTATGTTAGTCATTTTTTGTAATTGAATCGTAATGAGGTGTAAGCCCTTAAATATAAATTACAACATAAAGCTCTTATGAGGTATTCTGACTCTACTGTGTGTTTTCATAGAAATGTGCCGAAATCATTGTGGTTCACCTTGGCTACTTGACTTATACTCAGTACGAAGTCATTGTTGGTTTTGAGGATCTGAATAAGCTGATGTACCCCATCAAGAATGTGAATTTCACAGTAAGTGAACAGTATCATGCTAGCAAAAAAAAAAAAATCTTCAGTTTTAATTATTGTTGCGGAAGGCTACTTTAACCATAGTAAAATGTACGTCATTTCCCTTTTGAAGGTGAAACACTTGCACAGAAAACGTGTGGAGGCTAAGGCCCTATCCTCATTGAGATTGTAAACATACTTTAATTGCCGTTGTCGAAGTTCTAGCACAATTCCCCTGACTAGTGTGGAGAAGAACTCTACTGTCAGAACTGTTATGAACTTGTGCTTACCTAGAGCGGTAGTCTGTAGTGCTGTTCTCTATAAATCTTTATTAGCCCTCAGAAAGCCATACTAAGTCCCAGCCAGCAACAGCTGTTCGAACATGATTACAGCTAGAACAGTTCTGATTAGTGTGGATAAGGAAAGCCTGTTCAGAAAGCCATTCTATATTTTCTTACAAAGCACACCATTGAAAAGAACTTGAATGCACATGTGAAACCCTTGTCTTGTTCTTACAGCTCTGAACTCAAGCACTGCTAAGAAATAACTGTAAAATGGAAAAGCCTCCTGGCTATTATCATACAAATAGGCAATCCAAAAATTGCATTTCTGTCATTCCCATGTTCAACTGATTGCAGGGTTGGGATCTGAGCTCACAAGAAATGTCTCTTTTAGACAGGTTAATATGTGAATTCAAATCTTACATCCCCAAACATATACTGGCCGTTTACAACTGTTATGGTAGGTGTATTGAGATTAGTAGGATTTCTCCAGACTTTCCAAAAGCATATGGGGTTAGAAAATTATCATTGCAGGAAACTCTTGATTGGGGTTTTGTTCTTGTTTTTGCACACACAGTGTTGGGAGGAAAGGGAAAAATGTACTCAAGACAAGCAGAGCCATTCTCCCCGAAGAAATATGCTGAGTGTAAACCATAGCGTACAAAGGTGACTTGCAAAACAAAATGTTTACAGTACTTCACCAGTTTGTGCTGAGTGACTCCAAAGCCAATATACAAAAAGAAACTTTGAAGTTGATCCTGCCTGTGCTGCTGTGGGCTGGGTGTATATTCCAGCAGTGGTTGCTGTGCTGTGATATTCCAACATATAGCATTCTGTGTGTCACAGCTGCTAGCATGCAGGGACCTAAAATGAAAAGGCAAAATATTAGTTTTTAATTCTTTATACACTGAATGCACCTCTTTGCTGGGTAAGTGGAGAGTATTCAGCACATTAGTGAAGCGATAGAGCTGGGGTGGCCAACCTGTGGCTCTGGAGCCACATGCATTCTTGAGAAGTTTAAGATGCGGCTCCTTGTATAAGGACCAACTCCGGGGCTGGAGCTTCAGGCACCAACTTTCCAATGTGCCGGGGGGTGCTCATTGCTCAACCCCTGGCTCTGCCACAGGCCCTGCCCCCACTCCACTCCTTCCCGCGCCCTCCCCTGCGCCTGCCATGCCCTTGCTCCTCTCAGAGCCTCCTGCACGCCATGAAACAGCTGATAGGGAGGTGCGGGGAGGGAGGGGCTGACAGTGGGCGGGAGATGCTGGGGGTGGGGGTGGGGGAGCTGATATGGGGCTGCTGACGTATTACTGTGGCTCTTTGGCAATGTACATTGTCCTTCTCAGGCTCAAGTTGGCCATCCCTCCAATAGACTTTATCATCTTGCTTTGCACATGACCTTTAAGGCAGCTTTGCAAAACTCTGCTTGCCCAGAGTGTCTAGTATCCCCAGCTGAGATTGCACAGTGTGTAGCATACCGGGGCTCTGTACATGTAATGCAAAATAAATGAGCTAAAGAGCTTGCAGTTTAAATAGACAAGACAGACAAAGAGGGAAACCGGTGACATACAGAGGTGAAGTGACTTGCCCAAAGTCACACAAGGGGCCAGAGCGTGTTGGCAAGTAGATTTTTGTGCCTGGGCTTGTACATTTGTATAACCATTTTCCAAGTCTCCTTTAAAGTCTAATATGTGGACCACAGAATAACTTAAACCCTGATCCTTTGTAAAAGTTTATATAAGCTACATTTTATCCATAATATCTGTTATGGGGGAGGAAATTAAGTTAGTTGCGCGTTTTTAGAACTTGCTTTCCTTTTTCCTGAGGCAAAAACCAGATGAAGGAGAAATAAATGAGCTAATTAGCAATCACTAATCTCTTCTTAATTTAGCAAGTTTAGTCAGCTACAAACATGGATAGTCTTCAAAAATAAAGAAGCTTGCAGTGGATTGAGTCAATTGATGAATTTACTGTAAAGTCTTAAACAAAGGGAAGTTAACCTATGTTGGTTTCATCCTTTTTTTTTTTTTTGCCTTAGTGTGTGGTTTGGCATGTATTGATGGTACCAAGCATGAGGAACAGTAGGCTGCTTAGCTCTATTTTTATTTATTGAAATTTTCATAACAATATCGAGGTTGGAGGAGGCAGCGAGGCATGAATTAGCCTTAATCTTTCTAAGGTGGTGCAGTGGAATTTGCAATGGCTTGGCCATTAAACTTGAGAAAGCCAGTGGATTCATCTGTAATATTGTGTCTGCAAGTACTAGTAATTTGTTATGTTATGCAAATTCTATCAGCTTCCTCTTAATATACTAATTTATCTTTTATTATCTTGTAGTGGAAAACCTACAACCCATCTTTTTCACAAGTGGAAATCTGGTTCCGATTTGTCTTTGTAGTTCTTACTTTCATGGTCACTGTGAGTACAGTCTCTTACTTAACTTTTTTGGAGGGCTGGGGATAGGAGTGCAGGTGGCTAATTCAACTGCTACCCAGTCTTGTGTTTGGTATCATAGCTCTCAACATTAGCAAAGCCTCCTACTGTGCATGTGCCAAACCATTTTTAAAAATACTTATAATTCAGTTTGTGCTTTAAAATTTCTGCAAACAATGGAAGGGTTTAGTTCAACCTGAATTTTCAAGTCCAGCTGTGTTTGAGTGTTTTTTGGATTGGGTGGTATTGCAAATGGGGAAAATCATATACTTTGTACAACTCAAAATGTTTGAAAGAATATTGCTCAGACTTTCAAGAAAAAACTCACCTCGGGGCTGAGACCAACTAATGAAATATTTCTGAAAAACTGGAGTGGAAAATTTCTGACATAATGAATGAAAACACTGGGTTAGAATGAAAGTCCTAATGTAATTTTGAATGTAGTGGGTGTTGCTACACACTTTCTAGAATAATGTGTATGTGTGTGAGAGAGAGAGAGTGTGTGTGTGTGTGAGAGCGCACACACCTTTTATCAAGTAACAATGAATGTGGTACATGACCTGACCAGTCAGTAAAGTTTGTTGGCTAGCTTAGGCAGATATTGGTATGTTGTTATAGTCTATATAGTAATATCAAACAGTAAGTTGGCAGCATCACACAAATGATGCTGATTTGTGCAGTAGCAGCTGGTTTCCATTTCAGGCTGTCCCAGAGGTTAAGTGACTTGCTCAAGGTCACACAACATATCAGAATGAGAAATAGAACCTTGGAGACCTGACTCCCAGTGATAAAATCTACTCAACAGAGCACACTTCCTTTTGAGTAACATTGTTAGTGTATTGGTCTCTGTTAGCTCTGCTAAGGCTAGGAAGGACAAGATAGATGAAGGTTGATGTATGTAATATAGTAACTGGCAGTTGCCAATAAAATTTTTGGTTTTTTTTGCAGTGTCTGTTTGCACATTCCCTCCGGAAATTTTCCATGAGGGACTGGGGAATTGAACAGAAATGGATGTCCATCCTCCTTCCCCTGTTGCTGCTTTACAATGGTATTTGTGTGTGTATATATATTATGCTATTTTTGTAGGGTTCTCTTACAATCAGCTTGGCCCCTTTAAAATATGTGACTGCTTATAAAAATTCAGCCATGTACTCATTGAATTTCTTTAAAAACGTACAAATAAATCCCTTCTTTTCAATAGGCCGATGCCATGATAATCAGATGGGTTTCATTTCCTTTCAGTCCTTCAAATAAATGTTGTTCCTGTTTGTTTAAAATTCTGAATCAGATAAATGTTGTATTATCTGTTTTAAAGGTGGTAGTATTATCCAGCCTCTGCATTTAACTGAGCATCTCTCTGGAGGCACTGAGATACCAGTGGCTCCTCAATTAAGCATGGAGGCTGCTTTTAGTCTCTAGCTTGTAAACCAAGCCAAATTGCTAGAGAGATCCAGTAGATATCAAAATAGCATTTGGCCCTTTTAAGAGGTGGCCCAGAGGACCCTGTTCCAAGGAATTTGAATGAACCAAGACCCAGGAAGTGGCATGGTGGCAGAAGAGAGGAGACCGTCCCAGGGAATTAGAAGTTGGGTGGGAGGAAAGCACCAGGACACTGTTCCTTTAAGGGCCCAGGCCTTGTAGTGTAAGGTGGGGCAGGGCTCCCCTCACTTCCAGGCAGTTAGGAGGAGCTCTTCACAGGAGGCCAGTGAATAGACTGCCTTCTCCCTCAGAACAGGGGAGACGTTGACAGGAGAAGGAAGCCAGAGCTGGAAAGCTAAAATCTAGGGAGAGAGAGTTATGAGAAGCAACCTTGTGAAGAGCAGGCTATGGATGGCAGAAGAGCCAGAGAGAAGTATGAACCTTTGGATTGCAGTGATGGACTTTATTGATGGGACTGTTTGCGGGCATTAAACCAGCCCCAGTTGGAGTCTGTGGGGAGTCTGTAAGTGGTCCTGATGAGAGAGAACCGAGGGGGCTTGCTGCAAAGGGAACTCTGGCCATGAGGGACTGCTCAGGCAGCAGCAGCCGTGTTACATGTCCCCAGGAACTTTAACACTAGAACTACACTGAGACCTGACTTTAGGCAACCAGCAAGAAACAGTTGTGTAGTAGGTGCCCTCTAACTAAAGGGCTAACAAAACACCAACTCTACTGGAAATCTTGGGGAAAATCTTAAAGTGATTGCTTAGCACAGGGAGGAGTACCTGTTGGAGGTGCCTTGTATTTGTTATGAACTTTCCGATTTAACCAACTGCAGTGTCACTTACTTGCTAAGATTTTGAAAAATCTGCTTGTTCTCTGAAGACTCTTTGGGTTTTTTTCCACCTTTGATTAACGGGTAAAATTGAAAAAGAAAATAAAATTCTATGATTTTTCTTCCATTCTGTTACAGATCCATTTTTCCCCCTCTCATTTTTGGTGAACAGTTGGTTTCCTGGAATGCTTGATGACCTCTTTCAGTCAGTGTTCCTGTGTGCATTGCTGCTGTTCTGGCTCTGTGTCTACCACGGGATAAGAGTGCAGGTAAGGAGAGGACAATTACTCAGTACTTGCTGCAGAGATATTAGCATTAATTCAGTTTTGCATTATGTAGTTTTAATTTTTCTCCCTGATTTATGTGGTACACTTTTTCCAAGCTGTTAACAAAATGAAATCATGCCTAATATGAAAGCGTTCACAAAACTAATTCTATACACAGTGTAATGTGACTTTTTATTCTGTCCTGTATGCTAAACTCAATTCTTCCATTTTATTTCAGATCAGTTGTTTTATATATTCTAGCTCATTGTTTAATGGATTCACAGAGTGACTAAGCTGTTGTGAAAGCCTGATGTAGTGTTGTACTGTTTGCATTATGACTTGAATATGTGATTTGTGGTTAGCCATTTGGGTGCTTTGTCCCTTGTGCTAGGGAAGAGACAGGGCTCTGTTATAGAGCAGTGTTTCTCCACTTTTCTGATACCAAGGATCGGCTTGCTGCCTTCCTTAAACTGTGTCAGGGAGATCTCAGGGACCGGCGTAGAGAATGCTGTCATGTGACTTTGAGGCTAAAATGATTAGCAGTGAAATACTGAGCTATTCTGGCACAACCTTATTGGCGTGGTTCACACCTCTCAGCTCTTATTCTTGAGCTGTGGTAGTTTCCACTTGGTTCATATTTGGAAAGCTATTTTTTTGCAATCATACATTTTACAATCTTAAAAAAATAAAAAAGAGAACTCAAATTCTGGAGCACAATTTTATGGAAAGAAGTGGATTTTGCAGCTGCAGAATCAATGAAGTGCGTCAGATCTTGTAATATCCTCACTTTCATTTTAACATACATGTGATTATAACAGTTTTTATACACTCTGTAGTGAGCTTTGGATCTTACAAAATAAATTGCAGATGCTGCTTTTTTTAAAAAGCACTTTGGGAGTGAACCCAAAGTATGGCTTGTAACAAAGCAGCCTTAGGCGGGACACTACTGAGAGTATCAATTCAGGACAAATTGCTTAGAGCAGGGCAGTTACAGCCCAAGGCTGGGGTTCCTTCACTGCTGAGGCACACCAACCAGCCAAACAGAGAGGACTTCGGTTTTACCCCACTGGCTAACCAGGCAAGCAATTCCTCAGACACTCCAGTTTCCCAGTGTCACTACCAGCGCCACTCCTTTATGGGGATGAATGGTTATGAAAACCAATATCCCAGTAAAAGAAAAAAGGTTCTCCCGATCCCAAAGGACTCAGCTCCAGACCTAGGTCAATATACCAGTCAGATCTTACCCAAAATCACGCTGTTGCCAATCCTTTAGAATCTAAAATCTAAAGGTTTATTCATAAAAAGAAAGAAATATAGATGAGAGTTAAAATTGGTTACATGGAATTAATTACATACAGTAATGGCAAAGTTCTTGGTTCAGGCTTGTTAGTAGTGATGGAATAAATTGCTGGCTTAAGTAAAGTCTCTGGAGCACATCCGCAGCTTGGGTGGGTCATTCAGTCCATTGTTCAGAGCTTCAGTTTGTAGCAAAGTTCCTCCAGAGGTAAGAAGCAGGATTGAAGACAAAATGGAGAAGATGCAGCTGCTTTTTATAGTCTCTTGCCATGCGGCCTGTCCTTCCTTTGTTCCAAAACAAAGCTGCCCAGCACATGGCCTGAAAGCCTTAGAGTCCTCTCTGTAGGCATGTCCCTGCATGCCTTGCTGAGTCATAAGGTGTATTTGCCATCTCTCAATGTGTCAGTTGTATAGCTGATGGTCTTTAATGGGCCATCAAGCAGGCTAGGCAGTGCTGATGCCAAACTGTCTGGGGTATCACCCAGAAGCATAGCACAAGTTTGAAATACAGACAGTATAAAGTCAATACTTGTAACTTTAAATACAAAAATGATACATGCATACAGATAGCATAATCATAACCAGCAAATCATAACCTTTTCATAGACACATTGACCTCCTTTGTATGAGATTTGGTGCCACTATAGGACCTTGGTTGCAACAATGATCTATACCGTCACAGTTCATGTCAATAATGTCACATGGATGTTCCTATTTTATTGTGTTGAGAACTAACATTCTCTCTCAGGTGAATTCAAATGTTCTTAACCTGTCTTCTGTTGCCCCAACAGGGAGAAAGGAAATGCTTAACATTCTATTTTCCCAAATTCTTTATCGTTGGGCTTCTGTGGTTGGCCTGTGTTACATTAGGAATATGGCAAACGTAAGTAATTTCCCTTTGCACTAAGTTTTAGTGAGAAAAAGCTACTTCAGGAAAGAGGAGGTGGTTTACAATTAGTGATGTCTGTCTTTTGAAGTTTTGATTGTGATCCGGAAATGGATAAATTGAGCTACACCAGTTCTGTCAGATCTTCCCATTTTGTAAACTGAGACTAAATCTCTAATGGCTGCCCTAATAACACACACCTACATAAATTTCACAGCCAGTGCATAATGGCTCCCTACAATACATTCGCCAGTGTTTTGTTCAATTTAGAACAGGATTCCAAGTAGTAGAGCTTCCCCTTCTCTTGGAAAGGTCAGGCAGAGACCTTACTGTTAGGATATGTTGGTTTGTTCAATTTTATTCCATTACACCAAGTGCTATACCCGCTTAGACCATGCTGAACCTCGCATCTCAGTATTTACACTCTACATATATTTGTAAACTGTCCTACTCACCTCATCAAGCTGTTGTTTAGCCAAGTAATACATATGTTTAATTTTTCCTCTTATATCAGTCCCTCTGACCTTTGAATAATTTGTGGTGTTCTTTTCTGAATTCCTTCCAATTTGATAAGCTAACATAAAGATAGAAACATCCCGCTCCCAGACAACTACCCCACCATTTGGGTGATGTGGCTTTCTAAGGCACATTACCCACAATTGTGTCCCTCTTATATTTTGTTTTTTTGGGGGGAAGTAAATGGTGGGGTAGTTAAGGTGGAAAGCTATGTAGCTTCAGGAAAATGCTATTGAAATCAGAGACTGTCCATCTGTCCTAGAAGGGATACATACTTGATAATGAGTGAAGAGTCTGATCCTGCATTTTTTTCATTGCTCCAATCAAACTCAATAAATCTGTGAAACCCAAGTTTTGTAGGAAATTACTATGTTTTAAAGTAGCCAAAAATACAGAAAACGAATAAAGAATAGCTGAAAACCCAGAATCCCCACATACATGACAAGTAAAATCAGTGGGTCAGATCCTCAGCTGGTATAAATCCATGTGTCTCAATTTAAAATCAGTATAACTACCAGTTTACACCAGCTGAGGATCTGGCCCAATATCCATAATCTCAGTATAACAAGACTAGAATTCCAATAGTGTCTTTTGTCAATGCATGTTTCTGGTTTAACCTGACACCATTAGAACTGTGATTACTTCCTGATCTTTGATCTTTTCTAGTGTTAATGAACTACATGATCCAACATACCAGTTCAGGGTTGACACAGGTAATTTTCAGGTAAGTTTGAATCAAACTTTTTTGACACTTCCATATGGATTTTGTATGTCTACTCAGGTAAGACTGGGGAAGAGGTGTGTGAAGAGATCTGGCAGGTATTTAGTATTACATTATGTTATATATTCTTCAGGCTGAAATTTGACTATTTTTTTGCTGTAAAACTTTAAAGAACACCTAGTGCTGAATGGAAGATCTGAAGACTAAAAATATATTTTCACTATTTTAAGGAAAATTGTTCAGATTTTTTGTTTGGCTAATGCAAATGTCTTTAAAATGGACTTGTGTGTTTAAAGAAAGATGCTCCCTCCATTGCATATTCTGTACTGGAAACATGGAATGTTTCCTTTTGGATGAAGAGGCGTGTCTCTATAGGCCTACTGCACTATTAAGAACGAAGGCCATAGTGTGAATGTTGAGCTGTCACCACAGGGAAGACCATTTGGAACTGTTTGCAATTGAGTAGTTTCTGGTTAGAAATCACCCAGGGCATCTTGGATCTCATCAGAAATATAGTCATTACCTTTCAGTGAGCCAAAAATGAGCTCCTTGTTAGGCCTCCTAGTTCTCCACCACCTTCTATTCTCAGAACATTTGGCTTTCTCAGTAAATCTCCACTTTCCCTTCTGCAGGAGAAATCAGTTCTGTACAGCCTCCTGTTGCTTCTCAGAGCTGAGTGGCCATAGAAAACTTCTGAGATTTGAACCATTTCAACTGAAAGAAGTGGCCTTTGAAACACCCTCTCCACTGTGCCACATCCCAAAATTGACAAAACCACCACAGCCACTTCTGCTACAGACAAGGGAGTATCATGCTTCCTTCCTCCAGCCTAATTGCCCTGAACAAATGGATCATGCTTTTGGAGATGGTGGTTTCTGTCTCTGGGATGGATTTGAAGGAAGAAAGAATAGGATAAATCTTGTTCAGTAAAACTATATTATATTTTTTTCTATTACAGGGAATGAAAATCTTCTTCCTTGTGGTGGCAACTGTGTATATCTTGTACCTTTTGTTCCTGATAGTGAGGGCGTGTTCAGAGCTTCGCAACATGCCGTATGTTGGTAAGCAGTACTTTCTTCGTGTTTCCTTCAAATGGGTTTCCCCCGAGGATGGCTAGATATTTGGGGCAGAGGTGTAAGCTCTCAAATGACTGACAATTGTTCTTAATCCTTCCAGATCTCAGGTTAAAATTCTTGACTGCATTGACCTTTGTAGTTCTTGTCATTAGGTAAGACTTCTTTAAAGTACATATTCTCTGCATTGTAATATTTATAGCTTTGTAAAACTTTCTTAAAGAAAAACGGTTCTTGGCAATCAAGTTATCAGTAAAATAGTGCACCCTCAGAGCAGGTTATCCATTCACAACTTTCTCTGGGTTCATTCTTAAAAATGCCACTGCATCCAAACTACACTTTAAAATCTTGCACGCTACTGGCACTCGCCAAATAATAAATTCCACCACTCAGTTCCATAATCAATAGATCTTGGTGTCCTTATTTTTCCAAAAAAATCCTACTGATATCCCACTAGAGCAGTGCTGTGGATCTTGGAAAGTGCATGGCCCTCTGTTTATAAAAAAATAAAGAGCTTTTTTTAAAAGCAAATGCACTGACTCAGCTAGCACTGTGATGCACTGTTGCTGTCCAGGCAGACTGTCTGAGACAGATTTCATAATTTGTTTCTCAGAACAGTAGAGCTCAAGAAGCTTGTGAGATGGTCACAAGGCTTTCATACTTTTTCTTTTGAAAGTCTGCCATTAAATTCTGTCTTTAGCCCAGGAAAGCCAGTGGGGCACCAATAATGCCTGTTTTTAAGGGATGCAGAGAGTTTAGTTAACCTAGAGGGCAAATGGCCTCTATAAGAGGGGAAGGAGAAGGGGAAAGAACATTGATAACCCAAAATGAAGACATCCCACTCTGACCTGTTTAATGTCTTGAATCAATGAGGCCAAGATGAGATTGGTGAACTGGCAGTGAAGCTCTTGGGTAAGTAGAATGATGAGTGACTAAAAACCTACTCTGTATGCCTGCATTAAAAAAATACAATTGCACTGATCATCTGGGAGAGTTGAGCAGTCTGTAAATGCTCAAACTTCTGCTGTGATTTGTGGAGTCCCACACCTGACTCTCCATGACATGAAAATGGTTTGCCTTTTGGAAAAAATGTAGATTGACTTATGTTGCTCTTTTATGGCAGCCTTAAAATGTTGCAAAAGGGGAATGTGTATAAGAGCCGTAAACATATGGGATTGTTCCATTCAGCTAATGGCGTCGATGGTGTCATTATGAACGGTGTTTGAAAGCAAGGGGCTATTACTCTAAACTTAAGTGGTATATCTAGAATATTCTTATCAGAGGGAAAACTGTTTCTGTCTAGAACAGACTAAGCAAATGTGGTTTACAGCATCAACAGTTAAGAGGAAACTGAACCTGTTTTGGGACAGATTTGGTGTTAGGCCTTGGAAAAAGATGGTATCCACTCTGATTAAATCTGAGGCAGCCAAGGGCTAAATATAGCTCACAGATTTCTATACTATTGCTTGTGGCTGCATTTATTTTAATCCTGGAGATGCAGCCCTCAGCGGTGAGAAGACCTGGTATGCATCAGTCTGTGAGGGTCATCAGAACAAGATGGAGCATTTCATGTTGGGACTTGTAATATCCATGAGGCACACCTCCATATTAAAATGGGGGCAGCTGCAATCTACTTCACTCTTATGTAAATTAGGTAAAACCTTTTGGGTCCTGGCAAGCTGCCAATGCAGCCCACATTGTGGTTGCCCCGTAAATCAATTTTTTCTAAAGCGGTATTGTGGTCGCTGCCTATAACCAGGAGTGGTTTGCTAATCTGCCCTCTGGTGAGCACCTCTTGCTCTGTAACCTCCTTTCGTGAGGTATTTAGAGTGAACTGTCCACTACTGCCACCATTACATTGATCAGACTGTAGTTATGGACATGTATCTACCAGAGAGAAGTCCACCCTGCAGAGTTATCTGGAAGGCAGCATTCACCTTCTGTGGAGTTTCATGTGCTGAACATAAGAACGGCCATACTGCGTCAGACCAAAGGTCCACCTAGCCCAATATCCTGTCTTCTGACAGTAGCCAATGCCAGGTGCCCCAGAGGGAATGAACAGGTAATCATCAAATGATCCATTCCCTGTCACTCATTCCCAGCTTCTGGCAAACAGAAGCTAGGGACACCATCCCTGCCCATCCTGGCTAATAGCCATTGATGGACCTATCCTCCATGAATTTATCTAGTTCTTTTTTGAACCCTGTTATAGTCTTGGCCTTCACAACATCCTCAGGCAAAGAGTTCCACAGGTTGATTGTGCGTTGTGTGAAGAAATACTTCCTTTTGTTTGTTTTAAACCTGCTGCCTATTAATTTCATTTGGTGACCCCTACTTCTTGTGTTATAAGGAGGAGTAAATAACACTTCCTTATTTACTTTCTTCACACCAGTCATGATTTTATAGACCTCTATCATATCCCCACTTAGTCGTCTCTTTTCCAAGCTGAAAAGACCCAGTTTTATTAATCTCTCCTCATACGGAAGCTGTTCCATATCCCTAATCATTTTTGTTGCCCTTTTCTGAACCTTTTCCAATTCCGAGATATCTTTTTGAGATGGGGTGACCACATCTGTTCGCAGTATTCAAGATGTGGGCGTACCATGGATTTATATAGATGCAATATGGTATTTTCTGTCTTATCTATCCCTTTCTTAATGATTCCCAACATTCTGTTCACTTTTTTGACTGCCGCTGCATATTGAGTGGATGTTTTCAGAGAATTATCCACAAAGAATCCAAGATAGCTTTCTTGAGTGGTAACAGCTAATTTAGACCCCATCATTTTATATGTATAGTTGGGATCCTGACAGAATGTGAAATTCAAAGGTTGGGGTGAGTTGCCAATGTTGTTTTTCTAAACTAGGTTCTAATACGCACCTTCCATCACTGTAGGGTCAAATCATTGCTGACTTTTGTGGATTGTGCTTTATGGGAAACCCAGGAAAAAATAGGTTAAATTTTCCCATCCTTCAACTGACTGACTGACTTCTAATTCAGAATGTTTTTTGAAATTAAGAGTGTGAAATCAAATGTCTCTTAGAATAAGCAGCTGAATAGATTTGTCACATTAGTCTAAGACAAGGTGCTATTTTTTCTTATAACTCTGTTCTTACCACTCCCCCATTACTCACCTCACCAAATGTTGTCACAGTTCAGTGCATATAGCCACAGTGTCTGTCTTGTCTCCCACAGCATTGTTATACTTTATCTACGCTTTGGAGCACGAGTTCTACAGGACAACTTTGTAGCTGAGCTGTCAACTCATTATCAGAATTATATCCTTCCATTGTGGCTTCCAGTCATTTAGGAATATTGGTAACTTGTTTCAGTTAAGTGAATGTACGGAGACGATGGCTCAGGAGTTGTGCCTTTCACCACTAGATCACCAGTTCAAATCCAACCCGGGTTGGTAGTGACTGCAAATTGTTATTTTCTGATGGTTATTCATGATGGCTGCCAAATTAATGTGTTGGTTTCAATCCAACTCTCTGAACAGCTGTCCACGTCACAAAATCCACAGCCGTAATTGGCACTCTGGAATGTGCACGAAGACAGGACAAGTTTCTTTCCCATATATGTGTAGTAGGTTATCCTTTCAGAGCAGGGCCGAGTCATGTTGGAAGGACACTGTGGAGTAATTTACATGGATGCTGCCTATGCTGACCATATTCTGTAGCTAGCCGATGTCTGCAAATTGGCATAGGTATTAAATTCACTTAAACAAAAGTATGATGGGCTGCGTAATTGGAGGAGGCAGGAAGTAGTTCTGCAAACTGCCATCTTACATTTTCCAGTTCAGGGCTGAGTTTCCAATACAGAAGGAAAATATTATTGCAGGATCATGGTACAACCGGAGAGTGTTCATGCATATCTTGCTACAGTTCAATCTTGTCTACGCTGGCAATTTTGGGGAAATCTCCCTTTGTTGTGGTACAGCTCCTCTGGTGTAGTGACAGCTGGAGTATTACGAAAGACCTGTCACTAGCATGTTTACTACCGTGTTGTTTAGACCCATTCAGTGCAGGTCTAGATAACCGAGAGAGGGCATGTGGGGGTAAGGTTGGGTGGGGAAGGTGGAAGCAAAGCTAGTCTACTCTAGAGTTTCCGCCAGTGGGAGATATTCCCAAAACTGCTGGTTTAGAAACAGCATTTGCACAGTACTAATTTGATAGTCAAGCAGTTGGCTCCATCTCATTCATTATAAAGTACAGTTCTTTAGATACATTAAATTTTACAGATGGGGAAGCCAATTTGCCAGATGTTGCCAGCTGGTGTCTGTGTTGGAGCCAGGATTAGACTTGTATTTCTGGATCCGCAACTCAAACCACTAGAATACAGTTCTCTCTAGATTCTGAAACTGGCTGTGTGACCGAAAGTGCCCAATATCCTCTAGAAAATGACTGCTGAACTTTTCTATAACTAGTGGAAACTAAAATAGAGAGCTTTAATGGGGTACCTTAAAAACAAGGGGAACAGCCCCACCATGTCTTAGTGTTCTATCTGATTGCAGTCACTCCTCCCTCCCACCCAGACAATGCCAAACTAAACATCAGTGTCCCAAAACTTTAACAGTACACAGTTAATACTCTTCATACTTTGGAAGTGCTGGGCAAAAGTCATCAAGCTTTCCCAAAAATGTTGTTGCGGGGAGAATCCTGCCTAATGTTTGGTTTATTCAAAATTAATATGTACTTAGCTGTATTGTGTAATATCCTTGACTATTATTACCAGCAGAATTCTTATCATTCTATGGTTTACTCAACTTCTATCTCTACACTTTAGCCTTTGTGTATTCCCCATCAAAGAATGCACTGTATGGTAAGTGACCTACTGTAAAATTTGCCAGATTGCTGCTAAGATCTGGCATGCCTATAGAGGTCATCAAATCTTCACATGTTGGCTATTTCATTAGCACTTCATTTTGTTCTGTGTATATGAGCAGCTTACGGTGGCTTCAAATAGCCAGTAACGATAGAAACATGCGTTGATCTAATCCATGAAAATTTTACATTTATTGTATGTGCCTCTTAATATTGTGTAGCTTTAGGACACTCAATAATAAATATGGCTACTGGATGTCTTCTGCTTTAACCATTGAATGTAAGTATGCTGGGCAGCTAGCATGTACTACATGCATGGGGAGGGCCTTATTTATTGGGGCAGAGCAGTTTCTCACTAAACTGATTTTGGAACTAAGATGAATGGAGCTGCTTCAGGAATCCCATACTTCCATTATAGGAGATGCAACTAGCTAGCTGGCTGGCTGGGAACAAATATTTACATCTGTTCCTGGGTTAGAAGAATTCAAAAGCATGCAGAAGGTATTGGATCTTGTGGCAAACCATTAGGGGCTAGATTTCACTCTAACTCTACTGACTTCAATGGAGTTGTCAACTTACACCAGGGATATACTTAGCCCCAAGACTCCACAGGCCTATGCCAGGCAACCTGGAGAGGTGGTATTGTAGACAGCCAGTGGAAAGAGTGTGTGCATCCTTCCATTCCAGCATGAAGTTACAGCAGTACCTTCCTCCTCCCTATGTGAAAGTGAAAAATATATGCCCTAAGTTATAACACCTTAGATAAGCATTAATGACCAAACAATTATTAGATTTCATTACTTTTGGAACTTCAGTCATAAATAAGGGAAAGGGACTGAAATGTCATATAAAATCTGCCTATACTTTTCAACCAGATTCTTTATTGACTAGTGTGTTCTAAAATATCAGGTATAAGTAATGTGGGCAGGTGAAATTGTACCTGGGAAGAAATAATGATGCTAATACAATATAGAGAATAGCCACCTCCTGGAGTTTTTAGACAGGGTGTCAACTTCAGCTGTTATGAATGCTGACATACTATGAGACGGGGGTTGAAGAGTTTAAATCAGATTCCAATCCCTTCCTTGCCAGGGTAAAACTCCAGGCTGAATCCCAGTTATAACTTCCTTGGAAACTACAAAGTCTCTCCTTTCAGTTCTGGATAAAAGTCTAATCTAAAAGTTTGAAGTCAGGAATGCAATTTTCTGGTTAAATGAAACCATATCTATATTTTCCAGAGTCACAGTTGAAAGACAATCCTGCCTTTTCTATGCTGAATGATTCAGATGATGATGTGATTTATGGGTAAGTAACACAATTGTGAAAAATCTATTGGTGATTCAGGGGGTGTGGAGTTGCTGTATTTAATATAAAAAGTTTAAGGACCTGGTGGGTTGTTTTTAGTGAAAATCCAAACATGCTGACTACAGAATGGAAGACAACTGTAGCTTGAGTCTTCTATTTTGGGTCACTTTACTCCAAAATATGATTGTAATGAGGTTTCACACTATCTTGGTTTCTTTTTTTCCTGTTGAAAAAGGGACTGCCATGACACTGATACTAAAAGATACATTCCCTACTTGTAGGTGTGAGGACAATGGCAGGCTGCAGTGAGAGGGAGTATGTGGATGGCAGGGTTTGGGAAGAGAATACGCTGGCAGAAGGGAATAGATGGGAAACGAGTGCTGGAGTCAGGTTGGCAGGATGCAGGTTGCAGTAGGAGGGAATAGATTGAGAGCTGGGCCATACTTAAAATGGCCACTGCTGTCGGGCAGGACAGTTGCTATTTTAGATACCCAATATTCATTAAAAATATTAATAATCGAATCCAATGCAATTGCCTGAGTTCAGATTCTGAACTCAACAGTAGTATTAGTATTTACATAGCATCTAGAGGCCCAGCCAGGGCCCCGTTGTGCTTGATGCTGGACAAACACACAGTAAAAACAGTTCCTACCCTTGAGGGCTTACAGACTTTGTAAAAAAAAAAAAAAAAAGAAAAGAAAGAAAGAAAAGAAAAGAAAAAAAAGCCACACAACAGGTAGGTGAAAGAGTGAGGACATGGTAACATGTTTCGCATAGATTAGTTATGTGTAGCTTGTAGGGATAGCTTTTTTGTCTTTGCTTTTGTGTGTGTTTTAGTTTTGATCAGTAGCAGCAGTCCCAGCTTGCCTCCTGATTAGCTGTTGTCCACAGTCCCATAGGTGTCACAGTAAAGACAAGTCTACACTTACAGTGGCATGTAAAGTAACACATTGCACACCCAGCTAGCACAGGTATAAGTAGCGGTGTAGATGGTGAGATATGGCTTATGCAAGTAGAATGCCATATATGCCTGAACCCCTAGGGGGTATGTACCCTATACGGCTCTCTACATGCCCAAGCAGCGCTTTCCACATCTACACTTCTATTTTTAGCAGTGTCCCACTGCCTCCCTGCATTATGCACTGCAGTGACGAAGCCTGTCTTTCACTCTGGCATGTAGCTCCATCGGTTGTGCCTGTATTCTACATGCTGCTGCAAGTGTAGACAAGGCATAGAAGCAAACCTTGAGGAAGAATTTGGAGATTAGGGTTATGTATTGCTCACGTCTCTTAACTGAAATGCATTCTTTTGGATTAGTGAATCCCTGTGAATGATGATGGCCCAAATTATTGTAGAACTGGTTTAGTACCTTTTCTCTGTTTACATGAAACTAAGTAGCTGGCCATTGTGTTCAGGATGTTTACAAATATCTGTTTGTTAACAGGAGTGACTATGAAGAAATGCCACTTCAGAATGGTCAAGCCATTAGAGCCAAGTACAAGGAAGAATCAGACAGTGATTGAGTTCATGTGGAGGAGACTTGCTTATGAGAATGAAAGTGATCTTGAGGTTTTTCCTAGATGACCACTTCCTTGGCTTTCTTATGAATCTGCTTTCAACTGAACACTATCTCCCAAGGAAGGACTTCCTATTTATTTCTGTTTACAGAGTTAAAACAAAACTGAAGGAAAAATGGAAATGCTTGAAAAGTTTGTGGTGGAGGCTTCTAAGAAACCAAATTCTCTCTTTACACTAGGTTTAGAAAATGTCACATACAGGATTTCTGTGGAGAACAGACTGCTAAAACAATGAGGCTTTCAGAGTCTGGTTCCAACTAAGAGTGTCACTGAGTATATGCTGATTTAAAATTGCTTCCTTGCTGTCTGTTTTTAGAGGATTATGTACAGCACATCATCTTCACTCCTGATGCAGCTTGTGTTAGCTATTGTGTACAGTGTCCACTGGTGATAAAGTGCCTCTCTTTCTTCTTCCTTTCCTCACCCTGCCCATCTGAGTTGGAGGTACGAAATGGCAGGTATTTCCACTGATTTCTGAGAAACCACAAGCTTTATTGCTTCTGCTTTGAGGGGGCAGCATTCACAGTTCAGTGGTCAGCTCTGTAATTGACTGGAGTTCATAAAATGGAAGTTTGCCAAATATCTACAGTTATGAATGTGAGACAGGTATAAATATTCAAGTTCTGTTGAGGCCAAAATTTATAAACAGAATAATAATAAATATTATAATCAGCAGTGCAAAATAATTTGCAAGGGTTTCTCTTAGAATGATCAAAACAAAATAAGACAAAAATAAGTTAAAACGTCTAGTTTAAATATTTTAAACTGTTGCAAACCTTGGTGGGAAATCCATCTGTGTTGAGGGCAGAGGAGGGAGAAAATTGTTACATTTCCTACAAAGGGTACAATATACAACTTAATATTTTTAACACAAACATTCTTTTAATTGCTAGATCCTTTCCTAAATTAGGATTTTTCATGCAGTCTTCTCATAGCTGTTTTTTTAAAAAAAAAAAAAGTAGTTTATATTATAAGAACAATCACTTTTGATGACATGTTGAACAAACGTACAAAAGTGTGTTCTTCAGCATGTTCTGTAGATAGCTCAACCTCTTCATCTTTAGACACACCTAAATAGCTATACTTAAAATGCCTGCTGCTTACAAGTATCTTTTTGACTGTCCCCTTTCAGGCTATGCTAGAACAGTGTGCTACAGAACTTCAGAGGATTTATTGGAATATTGCTCATCATGATATTTAAATGTGTGTTTCAATTTCCCTACCACAGTATAGCTTTTTTTTAAAGGGAGGCTGTCAATTTCTATTAACTTGTTTTAAAGTTTAGTATTTTCAGGTATGCCACCTATTCCTGGAATCTTTGTGGGTTTTCTGTGGTTTCACAGTCACCATTTTCTTACTGTTTCTCTTCCCTGTTGCTGTATGAAATACCCAAACTAACAAATGGGGAAACTGACAGCATATAGAGAACAAACGGTGATTTTGATCTATATGTAAAGACCTGTCTACATTAGGGAATTGAACTGGTTTAATCATAAAAGTTCACTGTGTCCACAATGAACATGCTGAATTGCATTGGGAACCATTGCAGGTTTGTCTTGCATTCACATTAGAACTGTCCTAAACCACTTCATCTGCAATAACCTCTGGGTATCTGTTTCACGGTTCAGGAGCAATGCATTCTGGGAGACTTGACCAGGGTGCTATGGGAGGACTAGTTGAACTACTACAGCTAGTCTGTATTCGCAATGGCATTTAAAATGGTTCTGACAAAACTAGCATTTAGTTCTGCTGAAAGCAAGTGGAATACAAAGCATGCTTGTGTAAACCATTTTGTGGCTATGAAATGTAACAAACATACTAGGAAGTTGAAATGATATCTAGCACAGTAAATATCTCTTGTGTAGACCAAAGCCAAGAGAAGGCCAAACAACTGTCATGTGCACAAAGTAAAAAAATAGAACAAAAAGATTCTTCCCCCCCCCCCCCCCCGCAAACCCCCCCCACCCAGCATGGTAGGTGTTACTTGTAACAATATTTGGAAAAATTCTGAGAGGGTTAAATTGTCTTTGTAAACTGCAGTAGTTGTTGCACCTTTAACAACTCCTTTTAGCTAACTTAGCCTTTTTTAAATACATGGTTGTGTTTTAGATGCTTTTTTAATCCAACGGAAAAACAGACTGGCTTCTCTTTTTCTAAAACAAGAAAGCAAGAATAATCCAGGGCTTGCTTGTACTTGAGTTTGACTTTGTAAAGTCAAGCTCAGGATCCAATCACTGACATTCCCTGTACACCCAAAATTTCCATGGACTTTCATGGGAGTCGGGAGTGGGAGGCGGCAACACAAGGATCAGGCCTTTATGTTTATGCATTTTTTTACTTGTGCATTCAAAGCTTTTTGGCACTTTAATACTATTTTATTCCTGTTATAAGTCATTTTTTGATTTGCTAAAATATTTTTCCATGTAGGATATTTGAGTTTTACTAATGCTGCTTACTATAATCCAGGATGCTTGTGATATAGTATATTAAATCTGACTTTATTAAATGTTTTTTATTCCATTAACTAAAGAAAACATTTTTTAAAAATTCAACTTCAAGAAATCATGATATTTAGAATTTGAGAAATTTTCCTAGGCTGGTTTTTGTCCCTTTATTATTCTTTGTTTTGTTATTACATTGCTCGTTAGAGGAACAAAAATAGGAATAGGATGGGGAAATGTGTACTTTAAAAAACAAGTATTATTTATCTTGTTAATGAATTATTTTGTAGAAATCCTGCATTGAACTGCCTTTCCCCATGCATAGAGCCCTGCACAGATACAAAATTTGTATCCGCATCCAAGCTGCAAAAATGATCTGTGGATATCCACACCCGCAGATATAAAGCGAATATCTGCAGATTTGCAGGGCTTTAGAAAGAAAATTTGGATCCGCATCCATCCACGATCTGCAAAAAATCATCCGCAGATGTAGATATCTGCAGATATAAAGCAATATCTGCGGATTTGCTGGGCTGTACTCCTGCGTACTGTATTTTATACTCAAAAAATGTTACATTGTAACTTGCCAAGTTTGGCTGAAGCTGCACAGCATTAAATTCACTACCTACCTAGTAAATAGGCAGAAGCAGTAATGCTGTCTTCCTGGCAAGCGATCACATATTTCATGCCTTGTGGCGATGAATATTGAAAACTGCACAAAGATACAATTTGGAACCAAAGATTACTCTGAGGAATTCTCTTGTGGCAACAAGATGGATTGTAAATATTTTGTGGGGAGTTGTATTCATGTGTCTCTATGCAGTGTGTTGTGCTATTATGACCCAAGAATTAAATGAAAGGTGCCTACGTAAGAAATTCACTTGGCTAGATGTGTATTTTCCATATGGCCAGCGGAAAAGTCAATAAGGGAAGTATATTTTGTAAAGCTGAATTTTTTTTTTTTCTTCCCAGGAACCACAGTTAGGTCAAAGTGCACTTGTGCTGGGCTGTTAAAAGACAACTAATAAAAACAGTGGGGTGGATTTTCCTCTCCCCCTCCCCCCCCCCATTTCAAGCATTCATGTAATAATTCCAAATTAAACCTTTTCAAGAATGATGATTAGAACATAGGACAATGAGTAATGTATACAAAATACATCCACAATGTACTGGGTTATGGCAAAAATGAGATGCTTCCTCTTTTACAACACTGAGGATTTTTTACTTGCAAAAATCTTGTGCACTATGTGGAAGCCAAATGTCACTGGCCCTGGTGTTACCTGCTCAATTTAGGGCACCCCGTCTATACCCTATGGAGGGCTCAAGGTGTGACCCAGTCAGTTTAGGTACCCCCACCCTTTCCCTTCCGAGGGCTCAGGGTGTAAGGCACCTATCCTTACCCATAGGGCTCAGGAAGAAACCAGGTCAATTTAAGTAAGAGCCCTTTCCCTCGGGGTTAAGGGCTCTATGGGTCTGTGGAACTTTTTCCCAGTGAAAGAGCCTTACACAGTTGTGCTCTAAACATCTATTTACTAGCAACACACACAGAGTACATATACCAAGCAAATCTCTTATGCTCACCACTCCTCCTATACAGACAAATTTCACCCAATGACCAGTTAAGATTCATTCATTTGGGGGTTCCCTGCGATGCCTCTGCATATCAGGGTTGTACAGAAGGGTCAGAGTTCCAGCAGCTTGATGTTGAACTGCAGTCTGGAAATGGTTCCCAAAGAGCATTGCTTTTCATTTCTATTATCTAGGTAAAACTAGCTCCCTCCTTCAAATGTACTAAACCTATCACATTATCCCACACTCCTCAATAACAAACATTTTAACCAATTACGCACTGGCATCTGTGTGTCCTCCTTGATGCCCAAGTTCTTTACATTTTATCTTTCATACCCAAATTGTGATCTTCTCTATTGGTGCAGATAGTCAGTGCTTATCTTACCATTTGTTGAGTCTCTTTCTGTATCCTCCCTAATTTCCCAGCATCTTTACAACTTGGTTTTAACCAAGTGGTTATAACTGTTAGGGACATTCCTGAGATGGAGGTGCTTTAGCAGCAGCAGAACATCCCTTTTTTTCAAGTTTGGTGGTGAACACCCTGAGTTTCACCCATGGCAGGTCTAATATGTGGGGGTGTTGATCAGGTCTCAGGCCTACACTGGTGATTCAGGTATTGTTAGCTCCTGAACTCTCATGCACATTTTTGCTGTTGTATTGGCTTTAAGACATCATCAGTGTTAAGGCTGCCTGGGAAACTAATATCCTGTTCTCTATGGCCAAGAAGGGGAAGCATAACCCAGAGGAATACATTAGGGAAGAGAAAAATTTGCTACCTTTGGTTAAGAATGAAAATCCAGTTTAACAGAGAGCATGAACTGCTTTGGGAAGATAGTTTTGAAATGAAGGATTCTTGACGTGATAGCTTTCTTTGATCCAAAAGGCAATTATTGCAACAAGAATTATAAGCCTGCTTCTTCTCTTTTTGCCATATGTCCTGATTATGCCAGTAACTGCCATACACTACACAAAACCCTCATGCTATTGTAAAACAATGTTTTTTAAAGTTTGTAAATATATGTAAAATGAAGCAAAACTATGGTATACCAAAATGGTATAGAATGTGTAAGATAAATATTGTTAATGAGAAGCTGTAAATATGGTGCTGCTTTGAGAAGGTATGCATTAGTATTGTGTTTTAGGGAAACTGGTTAATAAATCATCTATTTACACTGGAAATCTTTCTGGTATAGAATACAAAGCAAACCTGATTGTTTACCTTCAGCAAAAATTGGGTGCTGATACATGGAAGACTTCATGTGCATTAAATATGTTAATAAATAGTTTTCATACTGTATCTTTACACTTGCATTTGGGTTTCATTTTCCTTCCATTAGGTGATGATGATGATCTAGCACTATTTTTCTTTACAGGTACAAAAGACTGCACACAAGGCTTACATACTAAACTGATACTGTCCTAGCAGCAGAAAAGTTTAATTATTAGCAATAGAAATATTTAACATATCAGTGTAGACTTGGAGAGATTCTTTACTATCTAGAATTAGAGAGAGTTTATTATTAGTGCAGTTAGGAAAATAACCAGATACACATGCTCACCAGTGCTCACATAGGGTGTCCTATTGAGCTGTTTCATGTGGTGCTTTGACATTACTTTTTGCAGAACTTGGTTAGAAACTTAAGCAATCACTTTGATTCCTAACTATTAAGATTGCAAAGAAAACTTTACAAACATGAGCAGTAACAGGGTCCTCTGAGGCTGAAGAGACAAAAACTGGTGTGGGGCTAGCTTTTGTCTAGCTCAATGTTAACTCTAGAACCTAATGGCAAGTATTTCAAGGTGCTTTATTTTAGAAATAGCGAGCTAATGTGCAAGATATAGTGTATCAATGCCATCTCATCAAATGCCTTCCAGTCCCCACTAGTAAGGAAAAATACACTGTTTTAAACTACCTCAGCCCAATGTCAGCT